CCTTCGTGTGGAATGGAATCCTCGCACTATTTAGCATCGTCACGACTTTAAGAGGATTTCCAGGAATGGTTTTCGCATTTCGCGATTATTCGTTTTATAATATAGTCTGCAATAAGTCGCTTTCAGTAGAAACACCGACGTTGACATTTTGGGGTACATTTTTTCTGTTTTCAAAAGTGTGGGAATTGGGAGATACTGTTCTGATTGTACTGAGAAAACGGAATCTGATGTTTCTGCATTGGTATCACCATGTGGTAACTTTAATTGTAATGTGGTATGCAGCATATAAGGAAGCATCTTTCGGAACTGTACTAAGTTATACAAATGTCTTTGTTCATTCTTTTATGTACACTTATTTTACTTTAAAATCAATCGATGTGAAGATTCCTGTAAAATATGCCATGTTCATCACGGCCATTCAAACTTTACAGATGTTATTCGGTGTTCTTCTTTCATTCTGGATATATTGGCTTCACTTAAATAATTATGAATGCCAAACTCCTAAAGAGTGTCTGGAAATCCTTTTCGTGGTGTATTTATCATATCTGTTGTTATTTAGTTACCTGTTTTATAATTCTTACATCAAACCTCGTTCGAGTAAGAAACACGACTAAAAATCATACTTTTCTTAAAAATAATGTATGTATCTAAAATGAGTAATGGCATATGTCAATCACTTCTTTAAAGATATTTAAATGAATTGACTAGTATAATTATTAACATTTATATTGTAACATTATAAACATTACTTTAAAATATAAATTTCAAAAAATCAGTTTTGATGGATTTTCCATGTCGGAGAAATCCACCAGCAATAAAAAAAAGAGTTTGAATATGAATTCAGTATGTAAAATCACGTGAAACACGCAGTCTTCAAGCTACCGCCCCCGTTCGCTATAACGTGACACGATGTTTATTTTTAGTCGTACGTGTTTCCCGTGCTTTATAGAAAGTTTCCAATTAGTTTATTTGATAAACAAATGTTAATTATTTTATTTCAATTAAAATTAACGGAGAGTTTATGAAAGTACTGTATCAAAGCCTTATTCCAGTTAAACAGTTCGACGAATTCTAGTTAACAGGTTTTATTTATCGTGTAAACCCCTAGGCTAGAAAAAGGAGCTAGGAATGTTAAATTGCGATGTAACAGATTAATTATAGACGATAAGAAGTTTGCGTGTAATTACAAAGATGAAATTTTTCAGACAGATGGAGAACAGTTTTTTTTTANCAATTAAAATTAACGGAGAGTTTATGAAAGTACTGTATCAAAGCCTTATTCCAGTTAAACAGTTCGACGAATTCTAGTTAACAGGTTTTATTTATCGTGTAAACCCCTAGGCTAGACCAGTGTTTTTCAACGGGGACGATATCGCCCCCATGTGGACGATTTTCCATGTTGTGGGGCGATTAGTGACAATTTATATTTGGGGGGCGAAAAACAATTTTCTGGGCGATATAGTAAAACATTATATTAAGAATAATTAGATATTTTATTCTTTATATCGTACAATAATTAAACAAATAACATTATACTAGTCACTAGTCTATTCGATGCAGTACGAATTTGGCGTTATCCTCGGCCTCGAAATTTTGAAGTGAAGGGGGCGATACTACGTTGAAGGGGGCTAAGGTTCGTTACAGGTTGAGAAACACGGGCTAGACGATCGGGGAAAGAAAATGATTTCATGTGAACGCGACTTCGAGTTATCGCGGTTCGAGTTAACTAGATTCCATTGTATATCATCATCTAGTAGAAAAGTAAGTTAAAATATAACAGAATTAAAAATATTCGTAATTAACTTTCGTACGCATATATAAATTTAAATATTTCATTTAAACCGGTTCTTAACGTGGGGTGCGTGCACCCCTGGGGGTGCGAGAGAAATTTCAAAAATTAAAAAAAAAAAATAAAAACGAGGCCACTGTGTTCTCTACAAGCCGTGGTACCCAGTAACACGGCACCCCCACTTCTTCAATCTCTACCGTCTCTCAGGACATAGCGCTTGTCATCAGTTGTCCCTACATGCAGCTAATGTAGTAACATTGTCACCTGCAGTACAGAAACTAGTTGCGACGTCTTTGCATACCTTGAATACAGCTTTTTGCACATCAAAACGAAAGCCAGAAATCGCTTAAATGCATCTGATGACTTACGCGTGACTCTTTCAAAAAAAAGAGCCTCGTTATAATAGAATTATTATGAATAAACAACAACAACCTAGCCATTAAAATTTAAATATTGCTTTTTATGTTATATAGTAATATATATTGTAAATAAACACGGCATTTGTTTATACAATAAATGTTTTTCTTATATAAAAAAGGGACGTTCTCTAGTCCCTTTTGAGGTTGACATTTAGTTCGCCAAATAACAGCTAGATGAAAGCGCGTTAACCACGAATAAACAGACGTCCTCGTCTTACGCCATGGCCCCATCTTGCACCACCTTCCCCTACAGTATTATCAAAATTGGTGTGGTTATAATGGACTTCAAAAATATATAAATTTGAAGTTAAGTTGTTAGTTGAATTATGTTCTTACGTGTGAAGCACGTAAGAACATAATTCAACTAACAACTTAACTTGACAACTTAACTTAACTAACAACTTAACTTAACAACATAATTCAAGTAACAACACGCAGATGGCGATACGGAGCGTAAACGCATGCAGTGTAATATAAATATATAAGCAAGAGATCGATAACTTCTTTCTCCTCAACTGTCGATTGTATGTTTAGGTTAGAAGCTTATTTTAAACAGTTTACTCACATTTTGTTTGAAGTCGCAATGTCTTCGGATAAAAAGCATAACGTGTATGGAGAAGATGATTCTAAGCTTCGAACTTGTCAAATATGGTTTAAACATTTCGTTCGGGAAATTTCGAACTAAAGAATACAAAACGTATGGGGCACCCAGAAGTTGACGACAAAGAAAAATTAAAGAAAGAAATTGTTAAACATACACGAATAACACACAACATATATAACGAAACACACCAAAAGTTAAGTGAAAAAACAGTAAAAACATTAAAGCATAGAGCGAGATACGACTGAAATGCTTAGCAGATGTTTAAGCAACCAACGCAGTTCGAACTGCGAGGCGAATTTTTGTTCGAACTCTGAAGTGTTCGAAGTTAGAATCATTATAGTAGAGGAGAAGGTGGTATTATGGAACACTGCGGGTATTATGGAACCACCCCATTTCGAACTGATAATAAAGGCGAACTGTAGCGGAATGTGGCTAAACTGAACTAGGCAGACATCCATAGCAAGGAAAAAACCCATTTTACTTCAGTTAAACGGTTGTCCGTATTTAATCAGCAAATTTGTTTTTTTTTTCAAAATTCGCAAGTTTTGAATGCTAAGTGAATTTAATTATTTTTAAAATATAAATCGTGTAGTTGTAGGTTCACTGGTGCATGTATTCCGTTCCAGAGACTTAGAGGTACGTATTAATCTGCGTGATGTTCACGTTTTTTAAATTTTGGTCTTGACAGACATAAGTTAATTCAAGATGGCGATGCGTAAAATATGGACCCCATTGGTGCTTTTACAGTAATATGGAACTCAACTCCTCCGAACTTTCTATTTGCAAGCAGACATTCCTCCAGAGCAATTTGTGAAAAAGACACTAGGTAGAAAGCCAATTCTTCCCGAGAATATCGAAAAAGAGCTGCTGGAATATATATTGTTGATGGAGGTCATATTTTTCTATTATAAAAGCATTTTTGCGATAAAATACATTGGAGTAAATAATTTGGTAATTATTTAACATTTTTTGTCCTTTCCTATTTGTTTTTGGCTACATTAAAGCATTTTTTTGAAAATATACAGTAAGGTTCCATATTACCACCCGATTTTCTCTAAGCCTACTTTCGGACTTTTTGTACAAAAGCCTTCAAAAACCATACTTATAATTACACTAGCGAAAAATCCAATTAGGAACATTTAGTTTACTAGTTACCAGTACTTTTCGCACAAAAAATGTGGGTGTAGTTATGATACCTTGTTTACAATTCACTAAAATGTAATTGGGGGTTCCATAATACCACCTTCTCCTCTACAGTTATACGAAGTTATTAAATACATTCGAAGTTAGAGTCATTCGAAGTAGAGACACCGCTGTATTTAAATCTTGATAAAAAAGAATGTAAAATCATTTTTATAAAATTTATTTAAATTAACAAAGTAATAAATTCTGTAGTAGTTTATATATAAAGAGTTCTAGATTCGCTAGAACTCTTTAGATTCATCTAGAGAATCTTAAAATCTATTCTACTTTCTAGAATATAGGCTATTCTAAGTTATTAGGTGAATAAATATATTTGATGATGACTACTCAGATAGCCAAAAACATTTGATGAATAAACATTTATCGGAAATAGGCTAGACTCTTTTTAAATTTATAATTTGGTTTAATTTGAGAAGTTTATTAATGTATAGCCTAATTGTTAAAATGAACATGATAATTCGTATGAGATAAATACTTCACTATAATGCACAAAAACAGCATAACTTACCGTGTCTCTACGTGGTTTTTCTTCTCTTAAAATTGTTCGCCAAGGCAAAATCATCTATGATCATTTCAAATCTGAATTTAAGCAAATGTTTATTTAATTAATAAATTCCTTGGTTATATTTCAGAAGTTTTCAATTAAGACGAAAATAAACACAATAATGTCTCAGTAATTTCAGAATATTTTTTCAAAAATAAATTATAAAGATTAACGGAAACCGCAGAGGTTTAAATTTACTTATGATAACTTTTCATGATTCTTTGAACATGAAAAGTTTAGCGTGTATAACTATTAGGGTTTAAATATTTTTATATACCGTAATTAGAAATAAGTAAATCATTATAGAATTGATTTTTTAAAATTTTTCTGCCCCGTGGGACTAAGAGGGCCTATTTTTTAGCAAGCCATTGTGGGTTCGACCAGACTGATACTGGGGTGGGCGATTAGTGAAGAACGGAGCTGGCCGTATAATCCATACGTTATTTGACTCGTTTTTGTTTTTTCTTGAAAAATGACAGAATTTCCATCTGAGAAAAAGGAAAACTTCGCCATTATCTCAAGACGGATCGCTAAGAAAGAAAATTAATCAGAAACGAAGAGAACGTCTCAAATGAGTCAATGGAACAGCTAATCTTGTCTTATATAAGTGTCGAAAAGGAGATTAACGTTAAAGAATGAATTCAACTTTTGTTGAAATTACAAGCTTCTTCAAATTGTAAATTACAAATACTTTTAAAGCGTTCAGATAGAATGCAAGCGTGGATTGAAAATATGCACTCTGTTTTGGTACATCTTGAATCCAAGCTCTCTATGTTAAAAGTGACAAATCAATTGCGGAAATTGATGCAAAATGTAATAATTTGCATGAAAAGTTAATTAGATTAGAAGATAGAAAAGAAATAATATTGTAATCTCAGGTATAGAGAATAATGATAACATGGACGATAGCTTATTTAAGGTTCAGAAACATTTTAATGATAAAGGATACGGATGTGAACATTGCTTGCTTCTAGAATTGGAAAATTTAAATCAAATGGAAAAAGATCAATTATTTGTGAGTTGATCAGTTATGAAGGTAAATTAAAAGTACTGTACATGTTAGTAATTTAAAATGTTTAAGTATATTCATTAACGATGATTACTCGACAAATACAAGAGCTATCAGAAACAAATTAAGTCTATATGGTAAAGAAATACGTTCAAAAGGAGCTAGGAATGTTAAATTGCGATGTAACAGATTAATTATAGACGATAAGAAGTTTGCGTGTAATTACAAAGATGAAATTTTTCAGACAGATGGAGAACAGTTTTTTTTTAGA